CGCATGCACCAGCCTACCTACCCCAAACCGGTCCGGCTAAACATCTCTCCTTGACTGACTCACTGCGAGGCCCGTTACTCCCACACACCTTGGATTTCGACCTTAAGGGGAGCAGATGCACGCTCTTCCGATAGTCAGTTTCCTCCTGCCGTACTCTGACCTAATTCCTCTGTTTCTCCAAGATACTGTAGGGCGAGTGCTGCAAACAACATTCCGCTGTTTGAAAAAGACCGGTAATCACTTGCAAACCAACATTGAGTAGGGTTGCGATGCTGTTTATCATCCAGTCCAATTTCAATTATTTTCACTCACACTAGGATGCTGCCTCTGTGATAAGCTTCTTTGTGACCACTGCGAAAAAGTTGACTCTGTAAAAAAATGGCTACTTAAAAAGTATGCATTTTTATCATTGATTTTGACTGCCTTTAGAAATTCAAATATATTTTATGGAAAGCATGCACGAAAAAATCCTCTCTTGTACGTATTTTATAGGAAATTACGCCTTCTCTAAATTTTTTTCTTAAAGAAGGGGTTTCCTTCGGTTTTAAAAAAAAGTTTCTTAATTGCTGAATGCTTTTGAAAGTTACCGACTGCTAGAACTGAATTCAATTTTTTTATCACGGAGTCGGCATCCTAGCGTTACTGAAAATAATTGAAGTTGGACTGCATGATAAACAGTATTGCAACTATACTCAATGCTGTTTTGTGAGTGATTACCGGTCTTTTTCAAATTGCGGAATGTTGCTTGCAGCACTCGCCATACTGTGTCTGATACGCGGCCCGTTTAGGGGGAACGACGGTTCGACCGTCCATTTCGACTACGTCCACCATGTACTTCACAACAGAGTGGTGCAGAGACGGTTACTTTCGCTGGATTATGGTGAAAGTAGACTTTCGAAGCATCTATCTCTCTGTTCCTCTTTCCCTACTCCCCACCCCACGTGGGGAGAACACACACAGCACACATCACTTGTAGGCGAGATCCAATCGATTCGTCAAAATCACCATGAAAAATTGACTTCTCATATTGCCGCTACATCGGCTAGTCCTTCTCCAAGTAGACTAGGTATTTGTTCATATGTGAGGGCGATGTCTGGACTAAGTGATTGTAGCCTGGTCACGAAACCTCACCGCCAATCAGGTCGTTGTGTGACCGCAACAGTGCAACTACTCTCCCAGTTTACTTTTTGTGCCCAGCTCAAAGTAGCCCTGTTTGTTCATACAGTCTCAGAAATCCACCTAGGCGAATGGTATGTAAAGAGGTTACAACTTCAGCACTGTTACTCGACATCACTTCCTCCGTGGTTGTTGACCGTGATGTCTGCATGAGTTAAGGTCCGATAATCATGCAGTTACACCTATGCCAGATCCTTTACAGCCGAGGATTGGAACCTGTACTAAAGCATCCCTATCAATTCGAGGGGGTGCCTCAGTAATTTTTCCAATCCGAATCATTCAACTATCATCGCCCGCAAGTATTAAATTCGCATTTAAATTTTACCTCAAATGCGTATATACATGCAGTAGAAGGGAGCGGTTAGCTAGATTTATTTCTTACGGAAATACGTTCCCTCGTGGGGGGGGAAATGTGTGATAAGGACTGAGCAGCCTCGCCATCAGATTGCAAAAGAACGTCAGAGTGGTAAAATACATACTATGATTTTGCGAAAGCCGAGAATCTTCTAACCATTCCGTTTTAAGTTTTCCTATTCGTTCATACTGAACTACAGATTAAAAGTGTTTGGACATCTTTTGCATACGGCCTGACAGAGAAAACTGATGGTAGGTCTCTGGTACTCATATATGTTTGTTTACCGTCCTTATTTTGGAGGTGTTAAAACAAATTACAGCCTTGTAAGTTTGTTTCTTGATTGTATGACATAAAACGTGGCAGATTTTCAAAATCTAAATTCGTCAACTGGATCTGCTCTTGATTCCCTCAAAATATACTTACATTTACCTTAATTTCATGAACGCAAAACGAAATTTTCTGCTCTCTGAAAACATATACTTGAAACTTTTATGGTTTTTAATAACATTATTTTATAGTAAAACACGCGCAAGCAAGAAGTTTTGGTTTGCAGCGTTTAGTAGCGTAGGAAATTCCTTGGATATTGACAAACCGCGGATTCTGCCAAATTTTGCGCATATTTCCTTTCAGTATACCAATCTGAACTAAAATATTTTTTAGTAAACTGTATTTTGCGTCTCAGCTCAATTTAAAGGCCAAAATAAACTGACTCAAATATGTGTTGAAACATCGATCATCACATTTAATCAGTTAGGCAATCTACTGTATATGCAAATTTATCAGCATCG